AGAGAAGAGAAGAGAAGAGAAGAGAAGAGAAGAGAAGAGAAGAGAAGAGAAGAGAAGAGAAGAGAAGAGAAGAGAAGAGAAGAGAAGAGAAGGACATTCCCTAAGTGAGCCAAGCAACCATCACAGTGCAATGTTCTGGCACAGCAGATCCCATCCCACGCCATCCCAGCCCCTCAAACAGTTTGGATGCTCCCTCTGGGGGAGGCTCAGGTACATACTCAGGCCAGGGACGCTGCTGTCATCGTTGTCACTGGTGCCACATCCCTCTGGGGAGCTGTACATTCCCTGCTCCCCGTTCTGCAGGGCTCGGGGCAGCTTTCCTGGCAGCGTCTGGTACTTGCTGCCTTTCCCCACTGGCTTACTCTGTTGTTTTTAAAAGAGGGAAAGATAAAATAAGTACAAGATTCAAACTGCTCACAGCGTCTGCAATCTGCTACACAATGTTCTTAAAGCTGAGAAAAAAGTATGGTACAAAACGACTCCACTCCCTGCATGTTCCTGCTTACAGACAACTCAATTTAAACCCATCCAGCAGCTGACGGTTTCCTAGCTAAAACACAGCCCTGCCTTCCCTCATCTGCTCCTCCCACTTCATCCACTCTGCCTTGATTTAAAATATACGTTAAATATTACCTGGTTTTGCCATAAGAATTTTTCTAGCTGTCTCCCTTTCCTCCAGGACCCTGTCACTAATGAATTGTTTGATCTTTTTCAGGTCAACTTTGAAAGCACCAAAAATATGTTTAGTTACTTCTCAGATAATTTTTTCTCCCCCATTTTCCACCAGACTTTCTCTGTTTCTGCCTCACAACTGTATCTCACTGGAATTCAACCCAAAAGTATTTGTACACCTCAAATTTCCACAAACGTATTTCCTACCACCGTTAATTACAGTAAAAGAATCAAAGCCAAAGTTAGGTTACAGAAATTTAACTTTTGTAAGAACAAAAATCTCTTTGCAGAGACAGAATTGTAAATGTGATTTTTTTTTTGTTTTTTTAATTTATTTTTTTATTTTATTTTTAAGAATTACAGCTAAATATAATTGCCAGTTCTATCAGAGAACCTAATTTTCCTTGCATTCAAGTGATATCTACTTGGGCACCTTGTTCCTTTTACAAGGGTAGATGAAATGTTCCCATAAATCTGATGGCTTTGAGCCTAATAAGTTAATTTTCCAGGCAGAGCACATGTTTCACAGGAGTACTTTTGCCTACAGTTTTGGAAATGGTCTGTTGGGATTTCTTCAACACTGAATCCAGAGGAAAAGATGGACAAAACAACCCTGTGGGTGAAAGCTGCAGGACAGGGATGCTTTTTGAGACATCAGTGAACCTGCAGCTCCAGCTGCCATTATTAGGGTGAGTACATCCAATATGTGTTTTGGAATAAACTCCCACTAGGAAATGTTTCAGTGTCAAAATGGAGGTTTCACAGGAAAACTTTGCACTGGAAATAGGCAAACCATATTTAGCACGCAGGAAAGCACAGCGTGCTTCTATTCAGTAACCCCACTCCAACAAAATATTTTTCAAAACATTGTCTGTGAAGGATGATACATTAAAAATTCTATGAGATAACCACTGCTTTATCTGTTCTTATTCCAAGGCCTAGAGGATTCTTTGGATACTGCAATTGCAGGCCAGATTGCTCAGGTCTTCAACTCCTGCTCCTTTTTGGCAGCTGCAGGAGTACGTCCTGACTTGTACCAAAAAGAGTAGAGAAATTGTGTCTTACATCAGCAGCGTGCATTCTGAGACCGACTGACCTCAGCTGCATGTAACAAGTTTCTAGATAAAAAGTAAAACACCAAAACATTTCCCTCTCAAATCTTTACCCCCTGTGTTGTTTGTCAGCACTGGAACTATTTTGAAGAGAACATTTTGAAGAGAAAAGGAATATAAAATGCAAACCAGCCATACCATCACAGCACATCACACCACACCAGAGAATTGTTAGGGAAGGATGCAGTTAATATACCTCTTGTTCTACAACAGGCTGTGCTGGTTTTCCATCTACATACTATGGAGTTTCAGGGAGGGCAATTTCAAAGTTTTGTGGAAAAAAGCAACAGACAAATGTTAGTATTAACATACATACATGGAACATCAAATGTAGTCTTATTGCTATAGAGATGGTGCTTAATGTATGGAGAATATATTACAAGGACCTCTTAATTTCATCTCAATCCAATATTTAATACTAATTGTGTTTGTTCATTCCCCACTCTACAAAATTCCTGTTTACATTCTGTTGTGATCAAAGGAATTTTGCTATTTTCAGGTTTCTGGGTGGTCCCTTTAGAGTTGCTTTGAGCTGGGAACACAACAGCTGTTTAACAGACCAATATGAAAACAAGTGACATTAAATAATACACACAATCCTGTATGGATCCAGCTGAAATCATAAAGAGCTCTGACAGAAACCAAGCGATAAAAATTCCACCACAGTTAGGTCAGGGACACTGATGTGGTTTATTATTTTATTATTATTATTATTGCTAGAAACAGGGGGACTTTGAGCTTTGAGCAAGGCAGAATAACTCCAGCACAAATGTGTAGGTCCAGCCTTATCACAGCACATCACAGAGACAAATTCAGATTTTTGGTTTAAGACAAATAACTAAAAGTTATGACAGGAAAACCTTCATCAGTTCTCCATGGAATGAAATGTGAGTTCTGATTTGTCACATGTGTGACTGCAATCAAATCAATGCAGCACAAATTTCACAAAATTCATTCTACTTGGTCACTACCATCTCCAACAATTCAAGAAATATATGAAAGCATTTAAGAAAAATTTTTTGAAATGTAAGAACTGGAGCAATCATTTGACTGGTATCTGGTTTCAATGGCATTACTGGGTCTAGGTCACCTGATATTAAGCCTAATTTGGGTACAGAAAAAAACAACAGTCTCACAAAGCAGAATTTAAAAAGTGTAGAAAAATGTCAGTGTACATAATGACAAAACAAGACTGTGGACCACAATGTAACAAGACTTTGCAAACTGGGAAGATTTATTCTGGAGTGGAATTAAAGCCCTTGAGGTGCTCCTGCTGCTGCCAATTTCAGGAATGCCTTTTGTATCAGCTCAGGGAAAACACTGCTACATGCACACACCCAAAAAGGAATCCTGTGTGGAAATACCCAGTCCCAACATTTAGCTACTTTCAGGATTAGCTGCCTTAATATTTTTGGTGTTTTGGAAGTAAAATAAATTTTAAAAACCCCCTAGAAACAAAATAATACTGCAGTTTTTAAAAAAATTACTCCTCATTATTTCTTGTATTTCACTTAAATATTTTTCTCTCAGGGCAAAAACTGAATTTGAAGGTGTGTCCACATGGGTGTGTCAACCAGCTTAGAAATGGGGGGGCAAAGAACCTGAGCTGTTTTAGGGCTCTTTCTTCACATACAGAGTTAGTGATGGTTAAAGTTACTGTGTGCATAACAAAAACAAATGTTTATACTTGATCTTTGTCTTTTAGCTGTGACATTAAACACCAGAAGCTGTGATTACAAATAAACCAACCTTTTCTAAGGATTCACTCTGCAAGTCTTCTAAACTACTGGACTTTTTTTTCTGTGGAGCCCTTAAAAAAGGCACAAGCAAAGAAGAAGCAGTCAATAAAACACGGTTTGTTTGCATCTCACCACTGTCTCGTGAATAAGACATATAATGTCTGCATGAAACATAGCTCAGAATTAAGACACTTGTTTATTTTATTGTGTTTTTAGTCTGAAAATCATGACTTTGAGAACAGCAATGGATGAAGGCAGAAAGAGCAGAAAGGCATCCTCTGGGCAGCAGTGGAAGGCAGCCAGGCCCAGTGGGCAGCTGCAGCCTTGTTACTCTGGATGATTTTAGGAACTCTTAACAAGCACAGCAATAACTCTCTACGAGCAATGTGCAACCTTTAGGGATTTTAGAAAGGGAGACTGTTTCACATTTTGATGAAAGTTACTTATTCTTACCTATTTGTGACTTCCAAAGAGTCTTCCTGCTGAGAGGTTAAATTACTTGAAGGTACTGGACTGCTTCCACTTTAAATAGAAATAAATTTACATATAAATATATTAAAATATTATATATAGACATACATATAAAAACATATTTTATATAAATAAATATAAACACAAATATATAGCATCATATAATAGAACATATAGTATATATATTTTAATAAATATATATTTATAATATTAATATATTCGTTATATATAATATTGATATACTACTATATTCATTATAATAACAATATATTAATTCATATTCAAAATACATATTATATAATGTATGAGATATAAAAATGCTGAATTATTCCTATAATTTAAAACTTAAACATCCAAGCATTGCCAACCTCCACAACAAGCACAGCTTTCAGAAGTGCCCCAAACTGCAGCAAAGCCAAGAACAGTCAAGAGAAGATGCCAACAGTTAAACAGTGTAAATAATACAATTTAGCACCACAGGAGAGAGAAAGGTCTTGCCTGATTTCCATGTTTTTGTGTGGCACTGGGGGGAGCACAGCTGGTGGCAACTCTCCTGCAGAGGCCTGGGGAAGACACAAGAGTTTCAATACTGTGGCTTTGGTGTCTTCTGCTGAATCTGCTGTGCCCATACCAATAAAAACAAAAACTCGGCCAGGGCTGAGCCCTCACGCACATTACTACAGAGAAACAAACAGCAAAAAATCATCTGTGCAGCAGAACCTGCTTGTAGAACACCTGTACCTCTGTTTTCAGTAATTCCCCTTGAGAGTTATTCAGAAGATTCCACTTCCTGAAAGTTGCCTCAAGTTCCTCTTCACAGCCACCAGAGACAGGAGAGCCTGAAAGCATTGGAGAGTAGGAAGGGAGAGAAACAGGTAAAGCTTGCTCTCTGCAGTATCAGCTCAGCAATCCAGAGCATCGTGGCTTGCTCCTTGCTTCTTTTTATTTATTTACTTAATGAATGTTCAGAGAGAGATTTACTCTCATTCTCTATTTTGTGTGTTAATTACATTCACTCTCATTCCAAATTTTTGTGTGTTAAACACAAGTTTCCATTCTGCCATGCAAGGCCTAAAAATATTGTTATTGCTTGTTAATGTGATGGTGTGCATGGAACAAAACTGTCCTTTCAGGTCAAGTATCCCAGATTCAATCCAGTGCTGAAAATTGTGGTGGCAACTTAAAATGAGACAGTCCTAAAACCCATTCCACTTCCTACACTGTAAAGGAGAAATGGGACACAGATTTATTTCCCCCCCTCCTCAGATTTTGAAGTTAAAACCACAGAATTGTGTGCAGCAAAGCAATGTGGGTTTTCAGTTTTGCCTTTTGTCAGTTGTTGGAGAATTTTGCTCAGACATGGCGAAGGAAAAAAGGCCATGAAAATATACAGCTGATGGAAAAGTAAAAGGCAGCTGTGAGGAGCAAATTCTCACAGCATGTTTCTGTAAACAGCAGGAGTTCTCAAGCCTGTCTTCAATAATAAGTAAATACCTTGTCCTTGGATAAAGTATGGGAAAGTAAAAGTAAGTTTTAAGAACCTTTCATATCAGGGTGAGAACACAAATCTTGGTTTCAATAACAAACCACAGGTATTGAAAACAAAAGGAGGGATTAATGTTTAAATCTGTGACCTATGATGAGCTCGGATTTTGCAATATGTATGAGCTTAATTAACACTGTTATAAAAAGTGACTGATTGAATCAATAAACTGGAGTTCAATGCTGATCAATTAAGATGGGTTGTCTCCCTTCACTTCGTCAGTCAGTTGTCAGGGTTTTCCTCAGTGGAAGGAAAATGAGTTCTCCCTCTCTGGGATCATTTTATGCTGTGAAACATGGCTGGTGGTCACAGGTCAAAATGGTCACAGGAAACACCACATAAACTAAAAATAAAAGCAGGAAATTATTCCCAAGCCATTTTACCATGAGCTGCAATCATGATGTCCTTGACCCTCCTGTACTGGCTTAGCAGTAGTGTCAGCTCCTCTATCCGACGGTCCTGTGGAAAACATGAAATAAATTAAATTACATTTTAAATCCCTCATTTTTAACTGCAGAAACACTGTACTACATCTCTGTGATTTTAATGAAAACAGGCTCAGTCCTTCACATGCCTCGTAAGGAATGTTTTTTGCCTTTGTGCCCAATATTTGCTGGACAATATGAAATTATAGTTGTAAGGAAACCAGAGGAGTATGACATTACAGCTTTTTTTGAGAAATAAATGTTATGAGCTACATTAATGTTCTCCAGAACTAATGTTTCCCTGTCTGGATTCCCTACTTGCTAAAGGAACTTTTCAGGGATGCAAATTATTGTCTATGTGATCATATATGGGCATGCCAGCATCCAGAAAAATCCCATGGCTTGATTTGTTACCACAAAAACGACAGTCTCCTGAAGAATGAATCCCCTTTCTCATTTAGTCCTTACAGAAAGTGTGTTATTTGGAACACTTCAGAGATTCAAAACCATAATTTCATTCTTAGCACATAGAACAAGGATTATTTCCTCACCTTTTCTTCATTTGCAGCCAATAATGTCTCCATTCCTATCTTCAACCTCTGAACTTCTTGGTCTGAAAATGTTTTAAAATGTTGTAAGAGAAATAAGGTTTGTTCTGTTTACTGGAAATAGATGTTTTGTGATGCTTTCCCTATGTTCTTACTAATAACCAAAACTATGTCAGTGGGGTGGCCAGTGCACCACTAAACTACATTTAGTGTAGATTTTTACAGAAGCTGAACTATAAAAAGTATTGCACAACACAAACATCCTGGTTTTGCTTACAAAAGACTACATGACACTATTTTTAACTATGACAATCAACAATGGAAAAGAAAAAAACCACAGAAGCTCATTTTGCAAAAAAGATGAGAGTGTGTTTGCCGTTATATACTTAAGGAAATAATTTAAAGTAGGATTGAAAATATATTCCATCTGAGAAGTAGCTAAAGTACATTCAAGAATTTGGGAATGAAAAGTAACAAAAACCTGGTTTGATAGAAGGAAATTCTGTAAAATGTTATTTACTTAAATGTGTCAGTATGGGCAACTTGGTTTAAATCTACATCAGGAGCTAATGGAGAATTTCCTCACACACAACTTAGTGATAGAGGTTAACCAGTGATGTTAAAATCAAGTCAATTAAAACACCCTCTCTGAAACTGATGAGTTGTCAATCACATCCTAACTTTGCTGAACCAATTCTCTCATTTTTCCCTACAACAATAGTCCCAGCAAACCTTCCTGAGCAAACCAAGTGTGATGGAGACAGAAACTGAGATAGTTCCTGTGTTGTAACTCCCTCCTCCAGCCATTCATGCTTTGACATTACACCAGACACAACTGTTCCCAAAAAACCATGAAAACGGATGCAGGAAGGGAGAGAGGGGAAAGAAAATCAACATTGCCAAAGAGCATCTGTGAAAAAAGGTTTTACAAATGAAAGTTGAACACACAATGTCATAGCTAAACTATTTGAAAAAGCTGTAATTAGTTTTTATTGCAGGGATTCTGGAAAGTGCACACCTTGCAATGATTAAGTTTAAAAGATGTACATGAACCTCACAGGTGTTTTCTCAAAGAAGAGACACAGGACATGCACAGGCACAGCCAAATCAAAAACTAAAGCCAGCAGGCAGTGGGCAAGCAACTGGGAGACTTTTTAAAAAAATCACAGTCCTACTAATTTCTTTTTATAAATGTTAGACTTCAAAAAGGACTGGTGTCAAGGTAGATTTAGGCACACTAAAGCAAATTTTACTTACAGTATTCATTAACATCATCAAGTATGGGGACATTTATTCCGACTTTTAAAAAAATGCAATGATTTTTTTGATGCAATGATTTAAAAAATAAAAAAGCCTAAATCCTCCCCTCCAAAGAGAAAGGCTTTAAATTAAAGCTGTCTTTTCTGTTATTAAATGGGGTTTACATATGTGCAAATAAAAGCCAGCAATTGTTACGTTTTGGCTCTGTTAACCTTGACAACATCCCTTTGAAGTCCAACAATTTGATTTGTGCACCTCTGACCTTTATTTCTGCAGTGAAATCTCCCTGAGCAGGGAAAGGAGCTGTCTGCTTGCTGCAGGCAGTGAAAGCAGCGTCTCATGTGTGTTACAATTAGACAGCCAAATCTAAACAAACATGGAATTATTGCTGCAGGAGGCATCTGAGTTAACATTGGTGTGAAAGGAACAGCGAGGTAAAGCCAAAAGGGAATTGCAAGGCTTACGTTTTTCTTTTAGCCTTCTCCTATAAACTTCCTCTACGATGGGAAGTGGTGAGAGTCAAGTAGAGTATGTAGAAAAAGCACACATTAGATCAATCCTGCAATTTAATTAGGATATGCATTCTAGCATACTACAAGTACATTCACATCATTTTTTCAACTTTATTTGAGAAGACCACCTGAAATTCTGATCGATCAGTAATTTTTGTTTGGTTGGTTGTTTCTAGAAGGATTGTTACTGTTTCCATTCAAATACAGTCTAAGTGCTTTCCTTGAACATAGCCCACAGATTTTGTAGAGGGTTTGATTCTTCTGCCTCTGGAATCAAGGACAGTTTCACCACATTGCTAGAACCTGAACGCTACTGAGCTCTAGATTTACTGTCATACCACTATCTTTCCTTTGAAATATCCTCAATTATTTGGGAATCTCGCAGAAGATACATATTTCCATTAGTAGAAGGGTTCCTCTACCAAGCACTGCTGTTAGAAAAACTAATTTTCTGGTTAGACATGCAGCTCTCTACATGCACAAGCTCTGCAGCTGGGTGAGATCACCACAAGGAGATGTTAAGTCACTCTGTTGGAATGAACCAGAGGAGGCTCCTGGGGAGCCCTGGGCAGGGGGAAGCACAGCACATGGAAATTCACATCCCAGCCAGGGCAGTGTTGGGAAGCCTCAGTTAACACCCACAGAAGCTGTTAGAGCAGCAAAGCTGATGCCCTGTGCTGAACTGCACACAAACACTCCTGCATGGCTGGGTGCTGCAGAGGAAAAATTCCATATTCTAATTCCCTAATTCCATATTCCATTCCCTAATTCCATGTTCTCCTGGCCCAGCAGTTGGCAGGAGCCCCAGGGAGGGAATATTTCAGAGCTGTGGCACCACTGGTTGAGACCAAAGGCTAAACAAACTGGTTTGTCATGCCATTGACCTGTGTCAACAGAGACAAACAGAAACCTGCAATATCACCTGCCCAGGCTGGCAGGGACACTGAAAATGCAAACTTTCATGGGACAGGGAGCCTGAATGAGACACAGCCATGAAGAAAGGAAGCAATGACTCTTTTAGGATGTTTGGACAGTGAAACATTAAGCTTAGCTACTACCATGACCCTTTTTTCCCTTGTAAACCAGAAACTGGTTTCAAAGAAATTTTCAAGGTATACCTGAAAAATAAACTACTATGAGTCTTTACAATTGCAAATAAAACACCAACAGAAAAAGTTTCAGGGTCCTGAGGATACTTATTTCAATTTGTGCTGCCTCTAGACTGGAATGGAATTTCACACATTAAAGGCCTCTCCTCTACCAGAACATAGAATGAATTGACATTGCTTACAATGCTTTTCCTCCCATAATAAACTTTAAGTCCATCCTTGCATTTCTTTGTATCTCTTTGCAACCCAGTGTCCAAGCTGCTACCAAAGCAAACTTAAAGTAGGGTTCTGAATTTTTAATTTTGTTTTCCCTCCTCTTACCTCTTTCTGCCACTTCAGTGTATGAGGAGGTCCTGGAGAGCTGACTCTGCAAACGTTCTATCTCTGCATCTTTGAGAGCCAGCTGCTCCTGGAGCTGGGCTATCTCAGCCTGGAAAAGAGCACAGCAAAGTCAGAACAACTTCCCCACCCACTGTCTGTGAGTCTTTCCCAGGAAGGAGGAGATGTCTGAGTGAGGCTGTGATTGAGGTCAGTCATCAGCTTGGGATATTTCACAAACACCAGGACAACTGTACATGTTTATGCTGCTATTGCTGTCAGAGAAGCTCAATTTTCCCCATGCAATTAGCTCTTGGAAAAGGCAGACAAACATTTCCAAGGATTTATGTAGGTAAGGGAACTCTGGAAAGCTCTCAATGCTACAAAGTTGGTACAATAACAACAACAACCAACCACCACCACCAACTACTACTACTACTACTACTGCTACTACTATAGGGAACTCAAACTTTGCATGGTGACCTCTAAAAGATAGCAAAGGATTTTTAAACAGATACTGGTGGTTTTCTATTTTATTTATTATATTACTTATTTTTATTTTTAATCCTAGTTACTACCTATTAGTATAACTGAGAATCTATTAATACTGAGCCTTCTCTGCAAGATAACAAAATTATTTTTTCTCAAAAAAGCAACTAGGGTTGAAGGAAAGCACGGCCTGGAAAACCACCACACACATGCAACAGAATACCATATTCATTTACATTTACTGGAGTTTTAGGGCTGCCACCCGATTTGCATGGAAAACCCACATGAAAAAGCTCAACAAGACAGAGGGAGAAGAATTCTGTGATTGTTCAGCTTGAAATGCTGTCATTCTAATCTGGTTTTTGTGTTTTTGAGAAAAAACTACCGGCAGCATATTTTGGTAAGTCAGCGGTTTGATAAGGTTTTCTTCAGAGGTCTCAAAATCATTGTGTGTCAACATTCTACATTTCCCCTGTAAAGGCACACAAAGCTTCCTTGCAGATGAAGGACAAAAGGAAAAAAAAAAAGGGGGTGGGGAAAAAGGGAAGAAAAAAGCAAAGAAAAAGGACAAAAAACCCCATGAGCACTTTCTCAAAATAAAATAAAGCAGGAAAGATGCAAACCACCAAAGGACATTCTCCAAACAGGGAGAAACATGGATTAATTAACACATAAACTTATTTTCACCAGGAAGCAAGCAGTTGGATTGCAGGATAACATCAATGCTCTGCCTAAAATTCCATGTGGAATAGAAGAATCTGCCTTGCTGCCTCTCTGAAGGGCTCCTACACTTCCCAATGACTAATATGCTTTTTATATCCAGCCATGGATTTATTCCAATCGCTCATCTAAGAAGCTGGAACAACAGGAAGACAAAAGCCTGCAGACCTTTTAATACCACATCTGGATTTGCCTCCCCTGGTCTACCCAGCCTCAGAGCTCTTTCAAAGGCTTTCTTTTCCCTTAATATCTAATTCCTGTTATCTCTCATTATTTTTATGCTTTCTCTCTCTTTCCGTGTACTTCTCTTCCTTTCCAGTCCTGCACCTTCTCTCCCTCAGTGGGTCTTATGATTCTTCTTTCCTATTTTCCTTCTGCTCCTACTTTTTCCATAATTTCTGTCTTGGCAGCTGGCCACACACTGCTTGAGAAAATATTTTCCCAAAGCCTGTTCATCTCCACCACGTCAGAGAAAACATTTTCACGGATTGAAGAACTATTATCTTAATGAGAAAAAAAGACATGGCAGCAACATTCTGTTATTCATCCAAGAATTCTCAAAAGAAAGAAATGCTAATACAAATAATAGCTGTTTGTCATGTCTGGATCAAGCTATCAAGCATTGAATAGAAAATTCAGTTTAATAATTTTGAAATGTTTCTCCAAGATTCAACCACAAGTCAAGAGTCAGCCATTCATATCAACAGGGATTATTACACAAATGAAAGGAGATGTGATTGCAGCACAAGAAGGAAAAATTGTAGGGTGCTTTTTAATCCAGTGGAAAAGGGCTAAAAATTCAAACTAGAAAAAACAGTACGAATGTTCCACTAGAAAAATTAATTGCTGAGGAAAATGATTAAATGTTTGACATGTCAAGTTTCTCCAGATTATATCCAACAGCTATGCAGGACTTAAGGTCAACAAAAGTGTAAGGCAGCTGTGCAGTGTGATATACACAAAGTCAAAGCAGATGATCTAATGGTGTATTTTGGGCTTAATGTCTGTGAAAGTAAATTCCATAGTAAGCAAACACCCAACAAACTTTGCATGCCTCCTCAGGAAAGTACATCCCACAGAGGCCTGTCACCATTACACAAATCAAGGCTAGGAAGCCTTCAAAGAGGCATTTTCTCTGAGCAGCTCTTTGCAAGTCAAAATGCCTTTTGTGGTTTCCTAAAATAAGAACTGCAGGAAGTACCAGACTGAAAACTGCATGGAGGGAGCAAAAGGCACAAAGAAAGCTACACCACCTTCCAGCTAAGATATTGATTCCAAAGGTGGTTAAAGAAAACTTGACTTCACAGCTACCCTGCACAAGGTAAATGCCAGATAAGTAGATATTGATGAGAAATGGAGCATATCCCCTCCCAGCTGATACATGCCTGTCATTGGAAAATGCCAGGGATTATGCTTACTTTGGTTGCTTTCAATTTCCACTCATACTGATTTCTTTCGTTTTCCAGTTCTTCCACTTTAATTTTGAGGTGTCTGAGTTCCTGTAGCAAACCCTGCAGAGGAAGAAGGAAATTAAAGGCAAGGTTTTTCTGGCAGATATTAATTTTTCCCCATCCTGAATTACAGATCATGCATGAACCACACAGTATTCAACACTGAACTGCCACACTAAAAACTGTGACCTGCTCTAGGAAGCTGTCCCTTAAATGTCCCCTCTCTCAGTCCTTGACAGAATTGTATCTTACTCACTAAAGAACAATATTATTAAAACCTTGATGGAGCTCTAACAAGACAAAATGTCTTAAAATAAACTGAGGAAAGGAATGGTTTGGAGGAGTAACCCAATTTTAGACTCCTGTGCAGTACATACATTAAGCACCACACTACCATCTTGGATTACACGAAGATTTATTTGGAATGACTTCTAGATTTGATTCTTAGATTATTTCTCTAACCTGAAGCCTGTAGTTCCAATAGTCCATTAAGCAGGTCTGCACAAAAACAAGCCCAGAAAAAACAGCACTATTTTCAAAATATGTGTAACGCACAGAATGGTTATTTTTACAATATAAAAATATGAGAGAAATTACTGAAAAACTCCCTCACAATACAAGAAGATTACTTATGAGTTCTGGGCATGCAAATTTTAACCAAAGAAATGTGGCAACAACCTGATTTGAAATCAAGTATTAAAATGTTTCTTTCTAGGTGTACTAGCATCATTCCACCTTCAGTGATATGAAGCCATTTATGCAAAGTACCTTTTGTTTTGCCATGTGACACATGTTTCATCAAACACAACCAGGATCTGTTATGTAAATTCTGGTACCTGCTAATGGCAGGGAATAAACAAAACTGTGATGGATTTTCTATTTTAAAAGTACCAGCAGATGATTTTTATTATGTCTCTTTTAATTAGAAAAAGAAAGGGTACATATCAGAGAATCTTAGCTGAGATTATTTGATACCTGTGTTAAGCTTTTAAGATATCCAGGAATCAATAATCTGTGTTCAGAGGATTGGTTAGGCCACACCATCAAGCACAGCTGGGGTGGCATCATCATGAGGAAAAGCAGCAAACTACAAACCATGCCAGCATGCTGCACAAAATCAGACAAATCTCAACCCCTAAATCCAAAAAAACCCACACCACACCAGCACTGCAGACTTACAAGTGAAATGGAAACTGTCAAAAATCTGAAAGGGGTTTTACAGATTTCTGTGCTTTAGCAGATCAATGGTGACCAAATTTGTCCCAGTAATTGGGGTGGAGAGCCTGGGGTGAGATTTTTTTTTTTTTTCTGGTCGTTTTTTTATGGCACTCTCACTCTTTGCTAATGAAAGCCACAAAGATTAATGCCAAAACATTCCCAAGGCAGCTCTGGTTAGTGGAATTTAGTGTCTGCAGGAGGGAGAAGAGGCAATACAGAGGCTTCTGCCAAGGGGAGCTTCTCGTACTTCACACCGAGAGCAATTCTTCTGGCCCAGGGGCTCTACTGATCTTGCACCACTTTGAGCACCATTAGGGGTCAAGTCTGCTTTCCTATCTTGAGACTTTCTTTCTTGGATCCTACTATTAATTTCCAGCTGCAGTCTACACATCTGCTCCTGCAGGTCACTGATCAGGTTCACTACTGACTGAAAACAGGGGAGGAAAGGGAGAAAAAAAAAAAAAGACAAAAAAAAAATACAGGTGAGAAAAAAAAAATGATGCAAAGAATACGTTTCTACAGTTGCAGCACAAAGAAATATGTGAAGCACATCAAAGGCAAACTAAAAAAAGACAGATTATGTGTTTCCTTTCTGATAAAGTTGATGTAAATGAGTATAAACCTGGAATATTGCACAAAGCCACAGTTTACATGGAACAGAATCTACGTTCCAGACTAATTCATGATTCTGACTCTGAAGTTAATATCAGAAACTTTTTTTGGAAAGTTTCACAGTCATGTGAGGGATCATTTGGAACATATTATAAATGCTGGCTCAGAGGTACACTTCTGCTGAAATGGGACTTGATTGCATTCATTTACCCTTCCAAATCACCCAGGAGGAAGAAACTGCAAAGTGCTCAGCTGGGGCCATAGCCTGCTCTTTGATAATTTATACACAGAATAATAATATACCAGCAAAGTAATTCTGTTTCCAGGTCTAGCACGAGGCAGAAAAATAACTCCATTACCTCTCTCTGTATCTGGGCAGGATCTTGAGTTGGGGGAGTTAAGCAATAGAATCAGGAGAAATCAGGAGAATAACAAAGAAGAAAAAGTAATTATTTGAAAGTGCACCAGTCTGCTGGTCAGCTTCTTGGATTTGTGTGTATCAGTGATACACACACACACACAAAAATCCAGCTTAGAAAGCAAACCAAAGTAAGAAAATCTATGTGATATTTCACCTAAATTCCCCAACTCTGTAGCAAATAGCACTGAGCATTTTTTCAGGCATCATGAGTCTGAAGTGCCTTTCTCTTAGCTTTCATGGACACCAGTAACATAAGTTTTGTGGTTTCTCAATCTTCTCAGGTGGAACAAATTTGAGGAGCTTAATCCATCTTCCAAAGGAGAAGAAAAATATTTCAGTGGACAGAACAACAGATGATGTGGCAAATAATTTTTTTATTATTTTCTTTATCAGAGTTGCCAAACAGTCCTCCTGTAACCTCAACTGTGCAGTAAAATCAGGAGTCTGAGAGCTAGGGAACAGCAAGGACAGGGCAGTAACAGCATCCACAGTCAACTTTAAACATCCACAAAGATTCACCTAACTCATACAAAAGAGTTCCACACATTTGAGTATTTCCTAGCTCACTGTTTAAGATGAAATTCAGAAAAGCCCCATTACATACATTTTACTTTATACATATTATGCTCAGTCAGGATCATAATGTCTGATGCTCATCCTCTTTCACCCAGCAAACCTTTAATGGGCATAAATGAGGATTAGGTTTGTGGTTTTTTTTACCATCCTCTCCACAATCAGGTACCTCCCAGAGCAGCACCAGCTGGGGATGGGGACTGGCAGGACACACACATCCAAATCCCTTGTTCTCTTCACAGAGAAAAGCATGGCACAATTATTCCCAAAGATTTCTGAGATTCACATTCTCTGAACCTCAGAGAAAGAGAAAACACAATTCCTTATCACTCACTGTACCTGTGCTGTACCAAAGTAGAATGCAATACAGAGATTGTTTGTCCAAAGTGAAGATGTTTTGTTTCCTCAGGGCCAACTCTGTGTGTGTGTGTCAACTGAGAGTCACAAGGTTCAGTACAGAGTGAGCAGTTGTGTGCAGAGTGAATGCTTAACAGATTCAGTTTAGATAAGATATATAGAGAATAGTATAATAAAGTCATTAATTAACCTTCTAATATCCACAGAGTCCTCCTCATGATTCTCTCCCTGTCCTCGGAGTCGCCTTTGATTTACAACAGAAATCCTTATCCAGCTGTGACTTCCCAATTGTTTCAGTTTCAAGGTAGAACAGGCCTTTTTGAGGCTCTTTCCCAGCATGAACATCCATCAACACTAACTACACCACCTTGATTCAGATGAGACAGCACACCAGGCTCCCCAGAGGGAGTCAGTGCCTCACTGACTCAGGTTTCTTTGGAATTGCAAGTAGCTTCGCACTAGATATTTAATTCAGAAGCTGCAAGAGCCACAACATACTTGCCAGCAGCTTACAGCCAAACCCAAAGACTTATCCCATGCTACAAAAGGAAGAAGCAGGACAGACAGAAAGTCTCTTCTGTCCACGTTCAGGTAGAGCAGACGTCTGGGCAGCCACCAATCTTATGACAATGCTGCTTCCTCATACCTTGCTCCATTAAGAAAAACACATTTTCAAAATTTCTGAGGCTTCTCAGGTAAGAGAAAAGCCACACAACCCCTTCAGGTGAGAGTCCAGAAACCTTCACAGCATTACTGTGCCAAAAGTAGGACTTTATTGCCCAGAAAAGAAATTATAGTGACAAAGCCAGGAGTGAGATAGTTCATGTACAAGCAGCTATTCTCCTGGCCCACCTGTAATATATATATATAAATAAATGGCACTTTATATTTAGTATGTACTTTTGAAGAGCCAGAGACAAGTGGCATTCAGTGTGAAATCAATACCTGTGAGAGGAGGCTAGAGATGCTTGATGAACTCTTTGCTGCTCAGTAAAACCAAACCTAAATGACAGCTGCACAAGATAAAGTGAAACCAATCTTACACATTAAAACTCACACACATTTGATGCATGTCTTAATTTGCTTTCTTTCCTCCCAGCCCAACCAGAAAAATAATTCTATAGATAAATTCTACGTGACTGGAAACAGCTGCTGTGAAATAAGCCGACACAAAATTAGAAGAGAGAGAAAACATGGTTCAGCTGAATGATCCTGCAATGCTACATTTAATTTAAAACTTTTAAAGCCCCATTATTATATTTAGAAATAGCAGGGTCAGCCAGGAAGTATCTGAACAAGCTATTTAAAATGGTTTGACTACCAGATGCCAAAACCAAGAGCAAACTACAGGTAGACTGTTTTTGTCAAAGTGGTTTCTTCATTAGAAAGATGTAGTTTGGCAGTGGAGGCAAAGAGTACAGCAAAACACTCAAAATATTACCAAATTTAAGCAGCTGTAATCTAATAATGTAAAGAACATTAATAAATTTCATTCTGATGTTTGAAATTGTGTCTGTATTGAAAAATTAGTATAATTTACAGGAAAAGAAGCAGAAATAGGGTTAAACCATTAGAATTCAACTAAGCATCTAATTTGATTGAAAGCAACTCATGATAAATGGGATTAATGCTTATTCAGGAGAATCTGAAATAAATACACAAGTAACTCAACCAGCAAACCAAAAATGCTGTTTGTTTCCCACACCTTTCCTTACTTTGCACACACAAAGGTTTGCAGCTTTCAACATGCCAGAAACCCAATCACACTTTGGGGTAGTAAATAATTCAGCCCACACTCCACACAAGGATTCTCAACTTTTCCATCAGATTAGAATCCTTTTTTCCATCTCAGCAGGAACGTGTCCTATCACTTTGCACCACCAGCACCACCACCAAAGGCATCCAGGCTGCTGGAGCTCACCTTTCCCACCCAAGGGGGCACACACCTTGCAGCAGCAGCAGAATTGCACAGCTCACAGCACCAGACCTCCCAGGCACTCAAAAAATCCTGACCATAAAAATGCACCCAAAAATCCTGACCATAAAAATGCACCCAAAAATCTTTGCTGCTTTCCAAGAGCCAGGCTGGCTCCGCAATAATTCAGGCATCCTCAGCCCTGTATTCTACATTCATGGGAGGCACTGGGAGGCTGCCATCTGTAGCTGCTCAGACCTGCTCAGATTTTCAGGTAGCTTGAGAGTGCTTGGGCCCTCTCTGTACACAAGGCACTGGCAATTATGTCTGAAAGAGCACCAGGAGGGCCACAGGTGGTAAAAACAGCAGCTGGTGCCTCTCCGGCTTGAAAGCTCTGCCCAAAATTGCTCTCTTTATGTTATCTTTGAATCTATAAAGAAAACTTCAGAGAATAAATAAGTTGAAAGCAAACACACCCCAAACGAGCTACGTCACTGCAGGCAAAGTACTGATGCATAGTAATCAAGTTATCACCTATTCCACTAGCAGAGTTGTGGAGAGCAAACAGTTCCTAATGCTGCCTGGAATTCAAATCCTCCTAAGTCAATATGGAACAAAGTTTGGTGTGGTTTTCTTGTTTTTCCTTTTCCAGTTAGCAATGTATCAATCTCAGACTCAGCAATCCTTCCTTTCCAGGCAGTCCTCTCCTGCTGGCTGGTCCCCTTACAGGACCACTGAGTAGAGCAACACATTTGTATGAATTTCTCTCTTCCACGATTGCTTTTGTATGAATTTCTCTCTTGCACGATTGCTTTCCTCCCCAGCTCCCACCTGCTGCTCACCACCATGACATGGATGTTGCTCAGATGAATTCCCTGTTTTATATTCTCTTTCTTAACCAACACAGCAAAACCCAAAGCTCCTTTGATGTCCAGAGCTCTCCACATCTGAAAGGGAGTAAGGGCTGAAATTGCCTCCAGCCCATGATATATTTTTGTCCTATTTATTATGCAGCCACAAGGGGAAAGACACATTTGAGGCAAATGCCCTCCCAAGTGCCACAAATACATTAAAATCCCTGATCTCAGTGCTTGTGACACCTCTGACACTACTGAGCTGACAGTCTTTTCTGCCACAAAAATGATGGAAGGCCTGGCACAGCCATGTCAGTGCAGCTCCCAGGGAAAGGAAAGGGTTAAGTGAACACCCACTGCAATAAATGCTTCTGGAAAGGAATCTTGCCTTGATGAAAGCCAAACAGCAACCTCTGAAGTATAATGAGAGAGAGGAAAAGAAACCGCATCCTGAAAATGCATAATCCTGAATTCATGGGATCAGTGACACAGGCTGTGCTGCAGGCATGGGAAATCCCAATCCCTGCTGATTTCAGCCCAAAAGCTCAGGTGTGTGACAACACACCACAGACATGGAAAAAAAATTCAAACAACTAATGAACGAAACTCACCTCAGCTTTGTTCTGTTTCTCTTCATATTCACTCTGCTCCTTTTCCATACCAACCAGCTTAATCTTCAGGTCTGAAACTTCAGCCATCAGATCTAATTTCTGAGTCTCCAGCGATGTGCGACTTAGCAGCTCCTGAAAGCAAAGCAGAAAGGTTTCCCCAGTTATTTATGTGAGCACTGACAGACTGCCCTGTGTTTTATTGGCAGGCCCATATTAAACCCTCAGTTTGAACCTCAGTGTGTTTCTCAAGTGCTGCAGTTATTTCCATCTGAACGTTCTGTGTTAATCACCAAACCACCGTGTCCCAGTCCTTATTTCAGGCAAATGTGTGGCAAAGTTAATCCTTGGGCTAGACATGAGATCAAAAACAATACTGAGGCTGAACAAACCCAAACCTCCATAATGGCACATTACAAAAGAGGTGGCGTCTTCCTAAAACACTCATCAGCCAAAGTTATGCTTCAGGATTACCTTGTAGACCTTCCTGTCAAGTGTTATCCAATAAAGGATGGACTGCAGAATGAGCACCTTAACCCAAACTGAGTAGCAAATGCAAGCAACACCTCTACACCAATAAATAGCAACTCACACCTTGTAGCACCTGATGGCTTTTGAGGGCTGCCCAGTGTGGAGGGAACTGCAGTGAAAGAAATGTCCCAGCTGGAGTCTAAAAGGCAGTGTCCAAACTAAGAAACACTGTAAAGGAGAAATAACTGCTCGTGGCTTTTGCCTGTGTGCCCCAAGTTTGTTTTGCAGATTGCAGAGTACACATGCTTTGGATGGAGTCGTATCAGTGTGTTTGGAGAACGGTCAACATTCACACCTTCACTGAATGTTTCATTTCTCAGGAAAGCCAAGGCAAGAAACCACCCAAAATTTAACAGAGTGTATTACATACATCAAATGCCTCTGTCACCTCTGTTTTCAAAAATAAAAAAGTCCCATTGGGAGTTTAAGCCTTATTGAAAAATTCATGATTTATTTCCCAAGCATGAAATTTATTTTTAACAAAAGAATGTAGGCTTCCAAATGGTTAAAAGATTTTTTGATAATTCATAAATCTCATTAGTGTGTTGATCACATGAATCACACCGAGGAGTCACAGCAGACTGTGCTTTGAATTACATGGCAGTAATTTAATTGAAGTTGCCTCACTTAATCTGTACTGATGTTATTGAGGGATCAGAAATCACCACGTCCAGCAGCCTTTTCTCATCTCTTCCTCTGCCCCAACTGCACAGTACATTGTAGGCCATGGCTTAGAGAAGCCACAAAGGTTATTTCAAAGATTACAGAGTCAAGGTTCATTTCAAAATCTGCTCTACATGTAAGTTATTTTAGTCTGGTGGGGAATATTGCACAAATTAAAAATAGTACTAAATTTGCATCTGTATTGCAACACCAATTATCTAAGCCACTCGCTATTCCCAATGCCATGCCCATTCCTGCTGACATTGGCAATGATATTTGTGGATGGATGGGAAAATAAACAGAAATGTAGCCTTGTGGTTTTGGCTTTTTTCTTTTTTGTCTTCTCTGAATGAAATAAATCAAGCTCTAATCAGGAAAAGATATTGCATGGACTTTTTTTAATTGAAAAACTCTAAGAGACAGTCACTTAATGAAATCCCAGGAGGAGCTGCTTTCTACACAGGTGATTACAAATTACAATTGTAATTACAAATAACTCCTCTGTCTTCCAGAAAAACACAAATTTGCAGGAGTTTCAGAGGCACATCTCAGTCCATACTGGAACAGGCTCTGCACAGCTGTTAAAACAGCAGACTGCTGCAGGTTAAGGCAGAGTTAAAAATGGGAGCTTTGATATGAAATAAAGCCACTGAACATCAGAAAGAAGAGCAGGATGAGGCAACTCTGGCCCCATAGACAGACTCTATACACTCTTGAGCTAAAACAACATTTAGAATTTTTTTGGACACTGACATGGTGTTCCATGATATGGGAGGAATATTTCTTAATAAGGCAAGGAGCTGCAGCATCCCTCTAGGGATTTTAAACAAAAGATCTGTCCTTTGAGTGCACCATCTGGCATTTACTTCTTATTTTTCCTACAGACCCCTAAATTACCCTCAGTTATGCAGTGGAGAGCAATCCACACTCGCACTCCTCTCATGAGTGAACGTGAACGTGGAGGCACTACCTGCTCCAAGCAAGCACTAAAGCAGCTGCCTGGGTTTGCTTTGCTTTTAATCAGCTCAAACACAATTTTACAATTCGCGTTGAAGCTGGGGAATCAGATTCTCAGCTGGAGTAAACTGGCTTTAATCTCGTGACTTAAAACAGGCAAAGCAGCTAACTAGCCCTAGTTTGTTTTCAATGGAGCTCCACTGATTTAAAACAGCTGACAATTGCTCTTGCATCCAGAGGACCTAACTTGAGCTTTGAAAGCAAGTGCCATTTAAAGTAAATGTCTCCTCTTGAAACGGGAACATCTGGAAGCAATTATTCTCATCTTCAAGCAGATGCTCACAGTGAACAGCTCATTAAGAATGTGAACCATTTTGTTACAGAGAAATTATAGTGTATTTCAGCGGTATGATGCAACTTGAATTCAGCCAGAATAAATATGCAATTGTAAGAAAGGAAAATACAAATTTATGTTATTGGTTTGAAAGCAAAAAGAAAAAAAGAAAATATAAGGCAGGCAAAATGGTAATTTAGGCTGTAGCAGCTTTAGGAGGATCTTAGCTGAAAAATAGAACAGACATAGAACCTATCCTAGGGAGTCTTCTTTAGAAACAAGATATTTGTGTTTAGTTTTCAAATGTACTATACATTATACAATGTAAGTGTAATTTTCCTTCCTAAAGATCTTTTTCTAAACTCAACTTTTAACTTTAAAAATTGAGGAGGCATGCAGAAGTGGTGATATATGTGTACCAGACAGATCAAAGAGTAGCAAACTATTTCCAAACACAACACACTTTTTAAAACTCACTGTATACTCCTAAAGTACTTAATCAACCTTTCCAATATTCCCAATGAAGCTGTAGCCAGTGCTGTATACCTCACTCTCACATTAAGTTGTCTTGGAAATACACAATTCTTATAAAACAGTTTATAAAATGTAACATGACAGAAATAGCTCGACAAGAAGACACTATAATTTTTTAGGCTCTCAGCTGCAAGTACAGAAAATTCCAGGATATTTAGTTCTCCACAAAACAGAGGAAAGAGTCATGCCATACACTGATTGAGAAACCATAAGTAAGATTTCAGTCAAGTGCGGAGAGGAAAGAAAACACCTCTAAGATCCCATTTTGCTCTTGCACACCCTACAAACAACATTTGAAAAAACCCTTACTTTTCACCCTTATTAAAGTCCTTGAGAGAGACAGACAGACAGACCAATCTACCTACCTGGGAAGCCAAACGCAGCCAGAAGCCCCCCTAATGAGGGCTGCACTTCTCAAGAGCTGTGTGTCAGCTGTGGCAGAAATAAGATATTTGCTTAGCTGGAAGCACAGCTGAGAGCGATGTACGTGTGCAATCACCATGAAATGGTGCAAGGCAGCAGCAGGCAGGGAATTACAGCCCTCCAATTCATCATTTGCCCATTATATGGTTAAGGCAGGGAGAGGACAGAGCTTCCCATAGCCCTGCCAACTTGACCAGCCCTTGGATCTGCTCTCCCTTGGATCCTGCCCACGTTAACTCCAAAAGAGCAAAGTGGAGGGCTCACCTGGAGAGATAAAGCTGCACAGCTTGAGAGCATGCTCTGAAAACTCAGAGCTCAACCAGAGCAGCACAGAGCACACTTCAAAATCTGAAACACTAAGCCAGCTGCTGGCAAGAAGCTCCTGATGCTATAAACAAGTGCTGAAATTCATCTAAGATCAGATAACTCAGGCAACTGAAAGTTGAAGGAATGGTCTTTGCCAGCCAGCAAAGTTCCTGAGGAGCAAACAGATACACGCCAGATTTATACCCTGCAAGCAAGGCAGGATTCTGGCTCCCCTGAGCATGAGACAGCTGCAGAACCAGAGCAGGTACACACTGAACAGGGCTGGATTCAAGTTCCTGCTCTGACACAGCTCCTCCCTGCATGCTTTTAATCCAGTTTTTTAAAAAGGTTCTCCGCTGTCTGGCACACCTTCCTCTGGCCCTTGCACCCAGACAGGAGTGGGCCATAAACCGACACAAGAACAGAGATCCACTCTCGTTTACACCCAAGCATTTCAGGTTTTATGTGTATTTTTTCATACGGCACAAAGAATCCTAAAACCAAATCCTTTGTACTTTTCAAGAGAACTTACTTGATTGAAGACACAATCGTGCTCACACAACAAAACTCTCCAACAAGAGTGCCCTGGAATGTGTCAGGAATTATTTGGAAGGCAAAAGGACATGGTCAGACCACATCTAGGATTTGGGATTTGGTTCAGGTCAGGTACAGGAAAGACTCTGCCCCTCAGACCAGAATTGTCCTTCATAGAGCAAAAATTACTTCTGTTTCCAACTCTACAACACGTTGATAGGACATTCCCCCAAGGCTCTCTCTCGTCTCCCAAAAAAAAAAAAAAAAAAAATATTCTTTCTTAAACTTGACTGGAAGAAAGTACTTAGTAATGCCACAAAGTAACTTACAACAAGACACACATCATTGCTCAAACTTGCTGTAACTTTACAATTTAAACCAGTTGATATACTGGAAATGGGCTGTCACAGCATAAATTGTTTTCCTAGGATAATTCTAGGAAGTTTTTTTTTTTAATTTTACTTCTAGACATCTCCTTTACAATGAGCCAAGGGGAAAGGCAGGTAGCTGTTCACACAGGCCAGACTTTCCATATCCTTCACACATTCAGCAGCAGCACAGACACCCCACTGGAAGGTAATTCCATGAAATTAAACTTGTGCCTTGCTGCCAGCCATGTTCCAGAACATTTTCTGTTACCAAAGATGACCTTGTTTCTTGGCCCAAACCTGAATTACACTTCAGGACTGAATTAAGGTTTTGCCATTGACTTTCATGAGTTTTGAAAAGGCCTGATTCCTTTTCTTGAAGGAAGAAAACCCAGACACCTTCAAGGTGGAGAAACACTTTTCTTCATTACGACCTGTGGTGGAAAAAGTGTCCTTACAGAAGTGAGACATTGGGTTTGATGCTTTAAGCGTCACATTATCTGTGCACACCAGGGCATCTCAGTGAGGTGAAAACACATCTCTCCATTGCCCTTCTGCCACACCTGGACCTTTCCTGTGAGCTGTTTGGCTCAGCTATCACAAAAACAGCCCTTCCTTCCTCCCAAACCCAAGGTCAGCTTTCTCCCAGTGGTGGAGGAGAAGGTTTGCTGTGCACGGCAGGCTCAAATCAGTGGCAGGAGCAACACGGTCAGGAGGAGGGAGAAGGATGAACGGAGAATATTTCCTCCCTTCTCCTCTGCTGCTGCTACTCCACATTCAAGATACCCACCCAAAATGCTGAACAGCCACTTCATGTTATTTGTGTAACTTTTATTCCAGTTGCTGTTTCAGAAGTGGTTCCACGATCGCTTTGTAGCAGAGTTCAAAACAACGGGGCATAAATCATAAGCCAGAAGGATTTTTTGCCAGTAACCCCACCCTGACAAGTCTCTGCTAGCACAGATTCAGCAAAAACTACTTTGCAGGGTGGCATTAGATACCCTTTCTGCTGTGGAACTTCCAGATACCATCATTAGGTTATCTTAAAGTTTATAGGTTTTTTTTTATTGAAGAATTTTTTTGCACAGAATTAATTATGAGTCACTCTTCTTATAGTTCTTGAAATTAAAAAGACAGGGCTTTATCTTTATTGTTTCATTTTCCACTCAGAGGCAGCAGCTGACTTACGTTCACAAAGGAAAAATCAGTGGAGTTCAAATATATTGTAAATAAGGAAGCAGAACCATGAAATAAATCTGAATTTAGACTACACTGCCTCTCAAGAGGGTAACAGAAAGCATTCTGAAAAGCAGGACACCAGCAGCAGCTGCTGGCTGAGAAGATCTGAACCCAAATCTCCCCAAAATCTGACTGATTCATCTATTGAAACCCCTGAAACCACACACTCACTCTACGTTTGACAAATTATCTGCAGAAACATCCACTGGCCACATATCTGACATGAATGTCATGATCACCACATCATCAGGTCATTCTCTTCTGCCCAAATCTCAGCTCAAACCCCACAGAGGATAAACTTTTCAACAAAAGATGGAACGGAGAAGTGAATGGAGAAGAGAACCCTCTAAATAAATGATATTAAAAAGGATCCTCTGCTGAGACAATGAATGTACAACTTCTCTGACTGCTGAGAGGTCCCACTTGGGTTTCCTAAATCCCACTGTCTACTGGGAGAAACAACAACTCCAGCTGCTCAAAAGTTACCCCAAAATTTAGATTTAAGGTTTATTTTAGACGCATCTGGAGATTCTCTGACTTCTTTAGCTTTGGTACAGCCTTTTGCAGTTTATCACGTTAGGATCAGCTTTGTAAGCGATTTGTGCACGTGCCTAAGGCCAGACAGGCAGATGCAAACATTTTCACTGAAATGGCAATGTTCCTGCAGCATTATATTCTAATTTCAGACTCCTCAGTGTTCTGGTAAATAAGGCTTTAATTTCACAGTTTCCTCAGAAGACTATCTGGGCAAAAAACATTTTAAATCAGAGAAAGACCAAGAAGTTTTAGCAGAAGTCACAGAACAATGATCCAGCTTTAGACTGGAACAGGGAGCTTCTGCACTCTGTTGGGAATGCCTTCCTGGAGAGCGAAAACAGATTTTCATAACTTAAATAATCACTGTTGAGTTCTAGAAAATACATGCGCTCACTGCATTTTTAAAGCTGTCCCCTCAGAATACAACCTTGCCCAGCTGGAAGCATTTTGGACTGCATGAGATGGAAGGTTTTTTCAAGAAGCTCAGAGAATTGTAATTTAAAATGTTTAGAATGCAATTTTATCTTATAGAAACCACTGCTGTTTACATACATATACACAAGGATCCTTATCATCATTTAAAGCTATGATTAGTTCATAAAAATGTGTATCTCACATGGACTAAAATAGCAAATTTATAACACACAATATTTGTGTGGGGAGAAAAACTAAGCTCATAGAGAACAGTATCCTTAAAAATTCTGGCATAGATTTTTGAGGCTTATTTACAGTTTCAAATTAATTTTTGATATCTATGTACTGCATTAGCAATGGATAATTTGCATCTACAACCACAGAAAATTGTACAGGGAAAGAACTTAGGCACCAATAGACCTGCAAGTTCTGTAAGGTATTTAATTTATCATTTGCTCTGCTCCCTCAGCAAAGGACATCAAAGAGCACAAATTAAATCACATAGCCTGAAACTGTTGATTCAAATAAAGAAAAAAATGTCTTTATATATTGATTTTCTCATCTCAAACTAAGGGGAAAGCTCCAAAGTTAAGCAAAAATGATTATAGAACAGAACTTGATACAGTAATTCATTCCAAATTGCAGCTTTTTAACTTCAAAGCCATAGGAAAACAGAAGGCATTTAAATAAAACCTCTTAATTCTATAACTCCTACATGTATTAGATACATTTAACCTGTCTAACCAGTTACTCAGCCGTGTCCAAATAAGCACAGCTCAAATAAGACACAATAGTTTCATTTTACATGCTGCCACGTACAGCATTATGCAACCAGCCAGTAAAACTTTTCTGCAACAGGAAAACAAAGAAACATTTCTTGGAGGGGAGAGTGCAAAGCAGGAGGAGAACAAAGAAAAAAGCGTTTTTTTCCTTCCCTGTCTTATCCTGTTGCCAAAGGCAGTCACACACGCAGAGAAGCTGACCATGTGTGCTCACCTGACCTCTGGAGAAGGTCTGCAATCCAGATTTTTACCTGTTGGAGCATTTCTTCTGTAGCATTCAGCTTCAACTGGTGCCCCTCCAGACAGATTTCTAAGTCCCGGATTTTCTCTCCTTGAGCTTCCACCTGGTCTGTGAGAACACTCACCTGCAATTTGAGAGGAGAAGCACAGTGCTACTGAACTGACTGGAAATAAGCTTCAATTACCTTATGCATATAACATCCAAACACACGTTTTGACAAGAAGTTCCCTTTTAAAGCCCTCAAATGCTTTAATATTCTTGTGCACTGCAGCAACCTGCTCTACCAAGAGAGAAGTTTTGCAGTCTTACCTCTATTTCACTCCAACCCCGCCCTCTCATCTCCCCTCCCCTGCAACTGTTTTGTTTTGATATAAAAAAAGAAAGGGCATTTCAAGGAGAGGTGGAAAGCTACCTATAGGTAGCCTGGGTCCCTTCATGCAAAACTCTGGAGAACTGCAAAGGAGCAAGCAAGAACAGAGCACACTGGAAATGTTTTATGTGGTTTTGGAGCGTGCATCGCCATTTCTGGTTCTGCTGGCATTTCACTCCCTAAAACAGATAAATAGGAAAACTGTTCCTTCCCAACCCAACCAATTACTTCCCTTCTTTGTTCTTTACAAGAACAAAACTTTATTGATAGATTACCTATCAATAAAGAGTTCTGAAGCTATGAAGAATGCAATGAGTGAAAGGAAACTTTTATCTGTGGCAAAGTTCTATTCCAACAAAGAATCCCAGGCTTTGGCAAGCCAAAACATGAAAGCAAAAGCAGGGAGACACAAAAAATGAACCCCAGCAAAAGAAGCAATAAGCAATCCTGGTAAAGAACTGTGGGTATGGTGGTACAGAGAAGTGAGTGTGCAATAAAAAAAGCCCAGCAGCTGAACCCAAATCTTGCAAAGCAAAAAAAAAAACAAAAAACAAGTGCACCCAGGCTAATGTTGAAAAGATATGGAAAAATCTCAGGGATAAATCTTATGTTAAGGAGACTATACACTTTGTATATTCATTGTGATTATTTATTTATAAAAAAGCCTTGATTATTCTAGAAAAATATTATCTAAAACAAACAAAGGAGCCCAAGGTGTTTAAACTCCATTTTGAAGAAAATGCATTAACAAAAACTTATATATGCTCTCACATCTGATCGTGTAACAGCTTTATTAATAAAACAAAACAAAAATGTACAGCACGTGGAAGTGACACTTTTAAGATATATCCACTACACAGCATATCTAAAACCCAATGAACAATTGAGTTCGCTTCAGGGAAGCTGCAAAGGGAGATGTCTGTCTTTCTTTTACCTGCTGACACAATGCCAAGCATGCCTGGGAAAAAAAATCACAGAAAAAAGAAAGAAAAGGAAAAGACTATTTTTTTCCTATTAAAGGAGTTGTCTGTAGCTCAGAGTACAGGATGAGAGTTGATAGGAAGGAGTGGGTGGAGGCAGATGGCAGGGGGACACATCCAAGCTGGGGCAGGAGGACTCCCTCCAAGGAAATCTTTTGCTCATCTACTTTGTTTTGTTGCCATTAAATGAAGGATGATACACAAAAATCCCCATGTGAGGCAAGAAGGCATGAAGAGACAAACTGAATTCTCTGCTTCAGTGTGATGCAAGTTCCAGAGAAAGAAAACCAGCTTTATTTAGAGCTTCAGGTTAGGTTTAAATACCATCGTAACATGGAAAGAAAGCTCTGGATTTTATATGTGACCTGCAAAGGAATTTAGTGAAAGCTTAGCAGCTTTGGAAGCATGTGCTGTGTGTTCCAGCAGCTGGGCTGAGAGGCACATCAGCCACTTGGAGCTCATATTTTCCCCTCTTTCCAGGATCATATCTGCCAGGCTCTTCAAGGAACCCAGAACAAAATCCCAGTTTATGCTAAGCTGGAAATTCCATCTTGCCTTAGGAGTCTTGCAACACCTGCAAGACTCGGCCTGCAGGCAATATATTTTCTGTAAAAGTGAGGGGCATCGAGCACTTAGCTAAAAATGGAGCGTTAGGAAGGGTTGAGAGTCTGAGGCCAGGCTGGAGTGCTCCCAGCCTCATATTCCCTCCAGATCAGGAAATTTCAAGGAAAGGAAAAAGGAAAGGAAAGAGGAAAGGGGAA